CTGGAATTTAAAAAGCGTTATTATAACTTTTAGATTTTCGTATTTGATGTAACGGAGACAATAAAGATAGACCGTTATTTTGCAGTATCTTTTCATACGCATTCTTTATCAGTTGGCGATCGAATTTTTCGCATAAGACTAAGCAAATAAATTTAATAAGAATATCCACCACTAAATTCATTATACAACGTGGTCAGATTTTGGGAGGACGAAGCGAAATCCAAATAATGAAGATAATTTTAGTACAATGTGTCGAATAAGTCTGCAAAATGTGGTGCGGCCTCTGAAAAATTGGGTCCCCAAAGTATGATTTTAATTTCGTTCCTTTTTTTGCTACACAGTTGCAAAAATTTTAAATTATGAAAAGATGAAATGGGAGATTTAGCGACGAAGTAAATTTACATAAATAAATAAATGCCATACATAAATGTAATATCAATGTAATTACACATGTAGTAATTTCCGTCTCATCCTAGGGTTATTATTATTATCTTATTATATTCTAATATTATGCATATGTAACTAAATCTTTTCATTTTTCATTTCATCTCAGTTTTACTCAAGAATGGTGCGCTTATATATAATATAGTTAATAATATTATATAATATGCTCAGATTTTAACAATTTTTAATTGGGAAGTACAAAATATCACATGCAATAACGCTGAGCAGATTTTAACCCCCAGCAAAAGACGCCGTTGAATCGAATTTGGTAAAAATCTTCTATTCAATTTTCTCAATATCTAAAAGGTTTACGTATGTACTAAATTTTATTATTTTAGCTGTAACTGTTGCGGAAAAATAATAAATACCTTTCTCTACCCATCATCAATTATCTATCCCAAAATATGGCTCATTTTATTCATTAGTGAAATGCTTTAGAAATGTAGTTCCTTTTCATAATTGTTTGTTTAAATTTATTCTCTCTAGGTTCGCTTTTTTGGTGGGAATCGACGAACTCAAATTCCAATTATTCTTTATTGTCACAGAAAATCGGATATTCATTTTAAGGATAAAGCGAGTGAGATAAAGATAAGAATAGACACGAAAAATCAACAATACAAAGCACAAAACACACAATACACTGAACAATGCTATACAGACTCACTTTGGTTTAAATGTTGGTTCTTCGAGTGAAGAATGAGTTATCAGCATAACTATTTCATATTATTAATAAAAATATTATGTCAATTATATCAGCATTACAGAGGTAAAAAATACGCGTTTTTGTAGTTCGGAGGTTTGCAGTCAATGCAACGACTATTCTATGTCGGTTGCTTTATTACTCACGTTTCCCTATATAATTCATGATCGTATTCTTTTCTACAAGTCATTATATTAAATTAAATTACATATTAAATTATGTTTATTGCAGGGCTCGTTTACATGTGTTTTAAATAAATAATATTAGCACATAATGAATGAAAAAAAGTCGTTTAGCATTAAGGGAAGCAAGAAAATTCATTCGGTGAGGAGAGTTAAAAGTAGTTAATTATTACGATTTAGTTTTATTCTAATCCGCTGTACATTCTTGGAATAATTCAGCTAGAGAGAACGAAACACGCATATTTCTTGCGCTTATTTCAGGATAACTTTATAATTTAATTAAATATTAAGACTTTACTACCCTGCAATTTTGGAGCATTTCATCTTTATAATGTAATTTAAAATAAAATTTTAATTTACTGTTGTTGTACTGCTTTTTATATTTTTTTAATTTGGAATATCTCAAGAATATTTACAAGTTCTGTTATGGTAATTTATTTTTCTAATGACTTACTTAATCATGCGTTTGCTGTTTGCATTTTGTTAAATGTAGGTTCCACTTTGGTAGAACCATTAGCTTAATAATGATAAGTAAGGATTGTTGCGCTTTTTGTGTTCATGTCTTGGAGATACGATAAAAACCAGTCAGAAAGGATCTTTAAAATAAAAAATCGAACATTTTATACATGGAAACACCCTTCAATAGTCCTGACAGGATTCCTAATGAATTATTGCAGTGCTTTACACAGTTTTCACATTTATTCTTCTAAACGGAAACGTTGCGACACTTATCGTAAATAACCATTTTGTTGGAAACTTAGATACTCGCATTGTAGTAACGTACAATAACAGTTCGAGCTCATTATTTCAAACTAACCGATAGTGCTTTTACCATAAAAGAGGGATTTACGTTCGCAAGCTCTTTTAATTTTCTATGAATCAACAGTTGATTATTTCGGTGAATCCAAGTTTGTTGTTTGTTTTGGAACTCGAAACGATTCCATGTGAAATTGCCTTTTTTTGTCGATTTCAAGTATGGTGGTCAACGTCATAATGCCTTACAAATAATCTTTATTTGTCTAGTTACAGTATTACGACGCTGGTTAAACTGATTTTGTGCCACGTTTTATTACAGCGAAACATTCGTGCTTCTAATTGTTATCGTACTGAATGGGATCGTTTTCGTGGGCGATTTCAATTCAATATTAAATAGCTATTGATATAGAGACGCCCTT